CACACACACACACACACACACACACACACACACACACACACACACACACACACACACACACACACACCTTCCTTTTTCTACTTCCTAAAGCCAAATGAACTGGAGGAATGTGGAGGCGGCAGGCAGGCAAACAGATTTGTTTACTTCCTGAACTCATTCAGACAACAGCCATCAACAGCTACTCCACCAGGCAACAGCTGGAACAAAAGGGAGGCTGAAAGCTCCCAGCTGTCGAGGTTAACCCTCAACGAATTCCACAGTTGTTAACAAATGCACAGGAGCGGGCTTTCAACAGCCAGAGGGGAACAATCGACAGCTCGACGGAACCAGTGCTGGAATGTGGCGAGCAACAATGTCAGTCTCTGGAGAGTGAGTCACCTCCAAATGCTCAGGGTGGACTCTGTGTTTACGTAGGTGTTCTGACAYAACACGACCAAAATCACTTACTCAGTCCCACAGTTTACACAAAAGAAGACCAGCCAACAGCCTGACACTACAGAGAGAACCTAAATGACACGACCGGGACTCCATCACTGGCTTTGGTTCCAGAGATACATAAAAGCTGAGGAGCTGTGTGAACCCTCCACGTAGAGAATGGGAACGTGACATCAGTGGACAAGGATGGCAAGCAATGCATTGTCGGACATGGATTTAGGACACGGAGCTTAGCAGCAGAGCCGGTTTAGAAGTACGATTTGTTTTATTATTGTTTTGATTTTGTGATCAACCRTAAAAAAAAAAAAAAGGTGAACGCAAGCTGTGTTATCAACAGCCAGTCATTCTCACGATCGGAGGAGGAACCGTATTGCACACGGATTGCGTTTTTTCCCCCAGTTTTTCAGTAAGAAAACAACACAGAGGAACCCAGGTTACCGAGCTAACAGAGACGTCGTATGATGGGTGACAGCTGCAACCTTCAGGAGTATTTCCAGAAACATGTTTGTGTGATCACGGCATTTCCACACAAGTAAGGTTTAATGAAATCATATTAAACTTAACTGCACATATATAGCTTAGAATTGTTCACATGTAACATGTAGCTAGTTAACAAGCTAAAGCTGGAAACATACTCCCTCCGAACTGCCAACGTCAGCACGGGTTGTTGCAGTTTCATGATGAAAATTACGTGACCGCTGTTCGCAGCGTTGGCTCGGCCGCCCCTTTTGGCACAACCCGCCGGCAGAACTTCTTACCCCCCTCCCCCGACGAATGTGTGATTGGTCTGAAGTTCATGGGTGTGTTTGCTTGTGCTGAAACTGAAAGCGCTCGGACACTTAAAAGAAAAAAATCTTGCTTTTAGAGCCGACTGTTGAAGCAGAGTTTTATAAAGATAGTCAAACCGTGAAAAACTCATGAATGGAGATTAAACAGACGTTGTGCACAGAGGAATCTGACTGATAAAAACTGTGGAGCTTTAACCAGGACAGATGTGGATAAATACATCGGGTGAGTGACGAGTCTGACTTTTTTTTCTGCATTGTCGGCTGTAGCAGGAAGAAACTCCATACAGTGGCGTATGTTTCAGAAGGAGAGGGGTTTCCCAGGAGCTCAGCACGGGATGTCTCAGGAGCTATGAAAGGTCTGTGCGAAAACGACTGCCGAACAACCACGTGACCGCGCGTCGACTCGTTGGCATCGGAGGGAGTAAGTTTCAAGCTTAACTGTGTAGCTATCTAAACCGATGAGAACCCTAAAAGCTATGTATGCCCAATTAGTTTTATAACTTTGCACAAGCTGCACTGCAAGCTACATAAAGTTATTTTATCCTTTACAGGGAAGCCAGCCTACAAGTTGTTGGGTTGTCATCCTGACTGGGTACTGGCCTTACATCCTGCACACAGAAGTTCAAGCTGGAGGAAAATGTGATCCTGAATGAAGTTCTGAAAACTAAAACGAATGAGCAATTCTTACAAGATGTGATGGTCAAGTATTTCACTGGGCTTCCACTGGGCTGTTTTGATGGGAGGGGATGACTCAGCTACTTCTCTGTTTAGCACAGACTTGAAAATGAACATGAAAATTGTTCCACATAGAAGTGTTGTATAAATGACTGATGAATATCACAGTTTTCAGTCTCTTTATTTGTGGGAAAAATGTTGAACATTGCCATGACATATAAAACATGTCAAGGTTACAGTGAACTGTGAATAAAACAGGTTAAACATGTCAAATGCCACTGTGAGCAAATAAAATGCTATTTAAATACAAACTTATTACAATTTAAACTGAAAATGTACTGCCGATATTTCACATGAATAATGTTCTAATAAAATCGATAAGAGTGGCAGTTTAATCTGAAATATGCACAATTTCTGTAAACAAGTAAGTAAACAAAAATATTGCAAACATTTTTGTGATGCAAACGAGGAAAAATAAAACTTAAAGGAAAAAACAGACTTTCAAAATTGTGAGATTAAATTTAGAATTCTGGAACAATATGTTTGTAATACCAGAAAAAAAAAGTTTAATTTTTTTCTGTGGATGCAAGCTTTAAATGGAAAAGCTGAATTCAGCATCAACCAACATGCTGGAGCATCACTGACTGTTTTGGTCCCCTTGTATCTGAACAACAACTTTAATTTTAAACATYAGAGCACAAACGTGTGCAAGACATGCAGTGTGCACAGTCCACTTGGCCTCTGGAACAGAATCACCCATGTTTGGAGCGGTGGTTCATTCAGGCGCTGAGAGTGAGGAATCTAGAAAACAAAGATGTGTAAAATTAATGCTACAATATGAATATAAAACTGCTGTAAAACAAATTACTTTCACGTTACTACTTTTCAGCTGTAAATATATAGAGTAACTGTACAATCAGTTCTAGTTTTTCAAGGTTTTAATGCATCATTTTAGCCGATGTGAAATCAGTTTTAGCTGTGTGTAACTATGCATGCATTGATTTATGTGCTTTTAACATGCTCTCCAGGACAGGTGATCATGAATTTCACCAATTTGGAACAAAGAAATATTTTCTACTCTGTAATGATAATAATCAGAATAATACAATGTTTTACATTAATCACCAGAAACCACATGTAAACATGTTACATAGGCTGAAGATTACATTTACTGAGTGTAAACAACTTTACAATGTGAGGTTTAAATGAAAGACTTTAAAATACAATCTGAAACCAGAAGAGCTTTATGTTAAACAAATCACCAGAAACAACACGTAACTGTAGTGTTTAGGCCAGAAAATCTGCAATGATCAGAACTGTTGTAGTCATTAAACTTTAAAAGAGGCATGTGTGTGTGTGTGCGTGTGTGTGCGTGTGTGTTCATGCTCATAGAGTTCACCTACCTTCGTAAAAACAGCAGTTTTGTGGTCGTTGACTCTAATCTCTGCAGGTCCTGCATACATCCAGTTTGTGAACTGCAGATGAGCCTCCAGAGGGTTATAATTTTTGAACTGCTCACATATGTATGCACTCACACCACAAACAAGGTAGCTAGCTATGTCGGGAAACATAAGCTGTGGTAGCTCATCAGGATCCATGATCCACTGACCGATCGTAGGGATAAGCTAGCCCAACTTTGCTTCAATTTTTTTAAAGATAGCACTACTTCRCTTCTTTGTTAAGCTGGTCGCAGTAAGGTATCTTTCTCTTGAGCTTCTCACGGTCCAACATTGTTCTTTTTCTTCTTGTTGATTTTGGTTGGCATGAAACGTCAATTACTGTTTTGAAAAAGAGTGTCCTAAAACATGGTGGTCGTTACCCAGCATGCAATGCGTCGTGACGTACGTTCCCATTCTTTATTGTAGCCCCCCTGCTTCAATCTCTGATYACCTAGAACAGTGGTTCCCAACCTTTTTACACTTGTGTACCCCGAGTCATTTTGTCATACCACTAGTACCACTTCAGTCAAACATGATGATTCTCCAAAACTAGGGATGTTAATTAATCGACTTGTGATTAATTGTTGAATAATGGTTTATTAGATTAAAATTGCTTCCATTGGATTAATTGAAAACATTTGTTTAAACCTTATTTCAGTGTAGTTTTGCCTTCATCCAGCAGAGGGCACTGCTACTATACCTCAGCCCTGATAAACTGAGCAGGAAGCCGTCTCGGTGCGGGCGGGACCGCAAAAGGGCAAGTCTTATTTAGTTTTATTTGCGACCCAGCAACAATAATGGACTACACCAAACTCAAAGGAAAAGTACAGAAGGCTGTACCGGATCATCAACCTGTATGACGCTAAAGACAAGAGAGCAGGATGACATAACGGTAAGCTAACTTTAGTTAATGCTAGCTTCCTCTTGTTGAGTTTAACTCCATGTGAAAGATAAAAAGAAAACAAAAAAGTTACAGTCACTAAATTAATCTAATCTGTGTGATGTAATCCGGCCAATAAACCAATCTAATGAACAGTGACTGACGTCAGATCATGCTGTGTAGCCCAGTTAAAATAGAACCAGAGGGAATGTAAACAAAAAAACAAACAAGTGCCAGTACTCATTTGTATCTCATGTCTTTCAGGGATTTATTTTATTATGTTCCTAGTTTGTTTTTGAGTTATTCTTTATCTTAAAATATTATCTGTTTAAATGAGTTTTTCATCTTCAGGGTGGATTAAGTGTTTTACTTATTTTATGCTTTCATTTTTTTCCAACTAGCAATTTAACAGATTCCTGTTTTGTTATATTTTATAAGTATGTCTAAGTTTGACAATGTGAAAGAAATCCACATTTTTCTGTTCCGTCAGTGTTTACTCACACAGCTGGCACAACGAATTGTTAAAATAATACTGTACTTTTTTTATTTAGCGTGTAAAAAAATTAGCCCTTCATGTTAAAGACTCTTGATTCAAGAGAAATGTCAGGTTTTTAAAAAAATGGCCGCTTATCAATTAATTGTTAGTCGATCGATAACATTAATCAACTTTAGATTAATCCATTAATCGATAACTTGCATCCCTATCCAAAACTATAATGCAAAACAGCTGATTATTAAATGAAAATTATTTATACCCTTTAGAACTCAGGCATTTTATTATTTTAAACTCAAATTAAACATAAAGATAAATATGTTGCCTTGAAAGTGAATAAGTGATTAAATAAATAAACCAGGTAAYGGCAGGTACAGGAAGCAGCAGCAACTAAAATACCTCAAATACTCACCCAAATTAGCTAATTCCGTAAGACTGTGTTTTCTACTGGATTCTATTTTGTTTAGTCAGTTCTGTGATTCTGTCTGCATTTTCCGCATTGCAAAGATCATAGGGCCTTACAAATCTCAGTCCTATTTTTRTTAATTTTTTTACACACCTGGRAGKTTTTTCCACGTACCCCCTGTAAACATGCTCGCGTACCACTAGGAGTACACGTACTCCTGGTTGGGAATCACTGACCTAGAAGTTCTTCTGGGTCCTTGACCACAATATGTGCGTTCAGTTCCTGCAGCTCCTGGTGAAGCTCTTCAACCTTCTTGTTAGATTTCTTCAGCATGTTGTCCACATAAGCCAGGCTCTTTTTGTCTGTGGTAACCTGAGGAAAGACACCACGGGTTCAAACTAAACGGGTCGTCTTACAAATAAAGAAAAGCAGCTGTGGAGGTTCTGTACTGCCTCAGTTGATTATTAATTATTGGTATTACCTTGCGGAGGTTCTCTGCGCCTTCTTTGATCTTTAACTCCTTGCGGATCTCACGGCGGATCTGCTCCTTGATCTCGTCCAGCTTCTGTTGGACCATTGTGTCAGACAGGTCCAGGTTGTTTCCCAAACCGAGGCGTTCAGCCACCAGCTGGCCCCTGGCATCCCCCTGAAGGAAACCATGAGAAAAGTAGCAATTAGCAGTCATTAAGGGTCACAACAAGCGAGGAGAAGACAACAGGGTGAAGACAAAAACACTAAACTCAAGATTTCAGTCAGCTGATGCTTTTTTAATTAAATAAGATCAGGCTCAAACAAACAAAACTCTTTTCCATTCTGAAGACTGTAACACAGAAACTAAACACACTACTGCTACTACTAATAGCTGGTTACTTAAAAATATTAAAAATAGGAAGACAACCAGAGAAGTGACACAGATTTTTGATTTTTTTTTTCCTGTATCAGTGAATTGTCTTCTTTCAGCTGTTCCCTCTTCAAGGTCTCCACCAGGGCTGGGCGATAATTCAAGGATATATATCGCGATAGACACGTGTTCAACATCAATAGAAAACATGTCTGATATAATATTGATAATTTCACTGGTTATTAACTGATAACGGTTGATAAYTTTCTGATAAAATAAGCTAGGACCTTTCAACTAAACAACACCAGGAAAGCTAAGATTCACTTTCAAAATAAAAACTTCAAACTATTAATAGATAAAAAAGTTATCGCTCACACTTCATTTTGAAATTTGTAAACCGGGGTTTCTTTCTYCCTCKTGTGAGAAATCGAGCACTAACTTGCTGGAGCAGTCCACCATCACAGGGTTAATTTGTAATTAATTATTGATTTAGGATGCAGTTACGCTGAATTGAGACATGCAAAAACTGTCAACTAACATACAGAAGCAGTTTCATGTTTCTCCACTGTGCCTCATGGCTGCTTCAAAATAAAAAAGAACAAGGAGTGAAAGGAGAAAACAATGCAACAGCTCCAGAGGAAATTGTGGATAAAAGAGGAAAGGTCACATCACCAGTTTGAAGTAGAAGTAAAAGTAAACTTTTTTGTCAAACTATGTACATCACACAGAACACTGAAACTGTGTTTCTCTAAACTCCAATTTGCAATATTACAAACAATTTTGGCAAGTTTACATATTTTTAGGTACGACAAGAGTCAGACCAATGTTGTCTAATCAATATTATCGATATCGACCGATAAGAAACACTTCATCCTCCACCACCTCACTCTAACCTCACTTCCATCCTTGTCTCTCCCAATGATAATCTTCAGCTCTGATACTTTCAGTTGTCTCCTGTCTTTTTGTCCATGTCTCTGTCTCCAAAACACAACACAGCTGGTCTCACTGAGTCTCTTGTAAAACTTTTTCTTTGACTTTGCTGCCACCCTTTACTCACAAATCACTCCACCGTCCTGCCTGGACTCTCCTTTTCACCTCCTTACCTCAATGCCTGTTTTCCTGGACAGTCGACCCAAAGTTGGACATTTGTGTACATTTTTGGTAGCAGTTTTTTTTAACTACATGTTCAAGCTTTTACCGAAGAGAGATGAGTAATCTTGTCAAAATAACATATCAGTAGCAAAAATAAAGCTCCTTTATTCAACTGCAGCAGTAATTGATAAAAGCAATTACAGCATCCAACATTTCTCCCATCAGGCAAGTAAAATATAARAAATATACCTAATTCTTTGCTGAAAACTTAGTACTTTTGCACTGATAGCGTGTAAATTAACTTTGTTAATGTTATGAAAACAAAAAACAATGAGAGACCCATTATTTCACAGGCATGGGTTAAAGCAAGAAAAAAATCTTTTGACAAATATTTTTCATACCACCCCCCACCCAAAAAAAAAACAAAACAAAAAAAAAACACAGAGTTAGGGGTTAGGGTTTTCGTACTTTTCATACAACAGAGAGGTACACAGGTGGTGCTCTGTGTTGGATTATTCTCTCTCACATAGAGTTGGGCAATTTTGGCAAAAAAATTAATCACGATTAATTGTGGTATTTAGCCAATAACAATTAATTTGACGATTAATCCTCTGGAGTCCCTGCACACCTTTATGTCCTGGTCACATGACCAATTTAGTGGGAAAGATTTTCTTTTCATAAAATCTGTTCCAAATTGTGTCAAAATCACAGACTTCAGGCTGTACATCAATTTTTAAATTGTGTTGATTGATAATAAATTACAGAATCTTTTTTTTATGTTTGTCATATTTGAAGCAGGGAGGAGCACCAAGCGGACTCTGCCTGGTTGCATTAATCGTATTAATCATCAAGTRCCAAAAAATAATCGATTAATGTTTTTCTGACGATTAATCGCACACGATACGATTATGCCCAATCCTACTCTCACATTAAACCAAGAGCATCAGAAGCATTGTAATGTGTGTGAAGGGCTCACTACTGGGGGGTCTTCCCCCAGAAAAATTAGAATTTAGTAGATGCAGTTTCCTGCATTGTGGTGTATTTTAACTGGTTCCTAAACATACTTTTACCTAAATAAAAACACTTGATTAAATAACTAAATTAGAGATAGATTATACATTCATATAGTTGCATCATCTTATTTTAAACTCACAGCTAGCCATTATAATGAAATTAACGTGACACAATTATCACAAASAATGATTTTAGAGAATCATTTTAAGTTTATATTGTTTATTCTTGATTTAGTTTTATTTGTATTAGAACATGCCATTGTGCCAAGCAATGATGACCCTCAACTGCATGTTTAAAACTAAACATTAAAAACCCAGTAAACAGGTAAAATACTGATAACCACCAAYAGTGAATTTAGGAGGCATTTCTTTGCCTGATTTAATGACAGGTCCACTCATAACAAACTGAYATGACATCATGCAGCCTTCAGAACATAAACTAACTCTGTGCCAAACAACGGTGACAAAGAAAATAACTTTTGTCAGTGTTGTCAGCTTGTATTATGAAAAACTGATACATGGATGTTTGGTTAGGGTTAACTAGTTTGGTTAGGGTGTTTGGTTAGGGTACCCTAACCCTAACCAGACTATGGAAACTACACCTGGACCACAGAAACTACACCTAGACCATGGAGACCACACCTGGACTACATAAACTACACCTAGACCATAGAAACCACACCTGGACCACAGAAACTACACCTAGACAATGGAAACTACACCTGGACCACAGAAACTACACCTAGACCATGGAGACCACACCTGGACTACCATAAACTACACCTAGACCATAGAAACCACACCTGGACCACAGAAACTACACCTAGACAATGGAAACTACACCTGGACCACAGAAACTACACCTAGACCATGGAGACCACACCTGGACTACCATAAACTACACCTAGACCATAGAAACCACACCTGGACTACCATAAACTACACCTAGACCATAGAAACCACACCTGGACCACAGAAACTACACCTGGACCATAGAAACCACATCTGGACCACAGAAACTACACCTGGACCATAGAAACCACATCTGGACCATAGAAACCACATCTGGAC